AGTCATGTGTTAAAGTTCACGCAAGTGAGGAAAGTTCTCTGACTGCTTTACAAATTGCTCAAGTAGCTCACGACTTCCAGTCTTTCACCAAGTATCCTCTGGTTAACTAAAGAACATCCGTTTAAAGGCGACTTAATTGAGAAGACGAACCATCTCTCCTGAGCGTTGTGCGCTGGGCTTGGCTATAATGAAAGAAGAAAATAGCCTCTGTTGAGAGACCCCTCTTTAGACGACGACCACTGCAAACGTATTAGGTATTACGATTTAAAGGCGTGCACCTGGGATATCCAGTCCCTTAATTGGGAAGGTGTCGCTGCCAAGGTGGTAAATGTCCTCGTGAAAATAAAGGCTGACATCACCGCCGTCCAACAAGTACGACGTACGGGACAAGGGCTGAGACGAGTAGATCCTTGTGTCATTTACTATAGTGGTCATGTAAAAGAGCGCAAATACGGTGTGAAATGCGTACCTGTACCTATCCCCACCTGCCATTGTATCTATTCCCACCTGCCTTACAATTCTCTCCTCACTGCGGAATATTCTTCTCTTTCTTCTGGATTTCCAGGCTGACAATGTTGTTGGTATTGATACTGGTTCCAAAATAGCCGAAATTATCTAGACTTCAAAGTTATGACTATCAGTGACGTGTGAGCCAAGTCGGGAGTGCGACGACTGTTTTTTTGATGACAAGAGATATTTGCCCTCGTTTACCACCACATCCATTTGCTTTGCTTCCTTATCCAGTCGCGGGTGCTGAATCCAATGATATCGAAATCATCAACACAACACTTCTTGCTAAAGCACCATTTGGGTAAGCCTGCGTCTCTTTCGCAGGTTTATTTAGTTTCATACAGAATTTAGTCGCGGACCTCAGTCTAACGAACGGTGCATTTTCGGCTTGCAACACTCACAGAAACACGTCGCCCGAAAATGTTTGTCCTGACTAGGAGCGTCTTACCGAATACAGACGGTGCGCGCACGATGGGAAGTACAGTCGCGGCGGAGGAAAAGCAGTTCTACTACCTTCCGGACAAACCCTGTATATTTTGTAAACAAAACGAAAATTTTTCGTGATAATGCTATTAATTGCCTCATTCTCAATATTCGTAGAAGTAACAATAAAAACGTTAATTTCGTCCGTTCGTATCATAATATTAACAACCTTTAAGTCGAATTAAAACTACTTAATAAAGAAAGAAATAACATACTATGTACTAAAATGGTCCGCTCTGAAAAATGTGTGCGGAGATTACTGCGTCGGATGATAACACGTGCCAAATTTGATTTTGATCGGTCAGTTTATTTAACAGCTGTATGCTATGTTGATCCGATGTCGGCGATACCAAACAAATTAGCAACTTTTTGCTAAATCACGTATATACAGGCAGATGGGCATGGTATAAATCGACTCAGCTCCTTATGCTGAACATTCATATATTATACTCGTAATAGGTTGTCAAAAAAGTCTTGTGGTATTTTCACTGAATTTTCATAAAATTGGTTGCAATAATGCGATTTAAGTCAAATATGCGCCGTTTTGTTCGAACTAGAACTACCCGCTGTCAGCGCCAACCAGCGAAAATACCGCAAGACTTTTTTGACAAACATTTATATGATAAAGGGTCCCGACGTTTTATTTTGGGTGTTACAAATAAAACGCATAAAACTTAATATACCCTCTTCGGGGTAGAAAAATAGCAACTGGTTAAAGCTACATTTGACTTTTTCGAGAATCAACCATAAATTGTATAAAACAATAGCTTTTAAAATTATAACGTAATTCTTTTAATCACATTTTCTTTAATATTTAAAAACATATATTTAATATGTATAACTTTCAGACGTCTAACTTGCTAACTCCGCAGACCTGTGACTCCACGGCGTTTAATAAAACACTTACTGTCAACCACACAACACTTTGCGAATTCTGGAAAATATTACTCATGTATAATAATTCATATTTTCATGCCTCAATCATATTTTATCTCTTTCGCTAAAAAGCGTCCTTTCATATCCTGTCGACATAAATTCTGCCGAAAGTCAAAACGAGGAAAACTATAAAGTGAAATGTCTGCGAAACTAAAACGCATGTGCCTTAAGTCCATAAATTTCATTTCACGTCCTCTCCCTACTCCTTTGCTTGTCGTAGGGAAAACTTAAGTTACGCAAACACATCGCTCATTGTCGCTCTCTGACTGCCGCTCTGCCGTAAAAATGGCGCATTCTTTTAATCATGTTCGCGTCAATTTTTCATATGCTGCTTCAGCTTTACGAGCCACTTACACATACATATGGTTTATACGAGTCCTCTCACCTGCACACGCACACGCGAACAGTGGCTTGCGAATATTTTAATGCGCTCAGCCTTGAAAACAGCTGTTTTATGTTTACCATAAACTGTATCAGTATGCGCTCGCATTGCATTTCGCATTACGTCGCATTTCCGTTCGGCATATTGTCCCTCGTGGCTTAGACTACACAATGAAATCGTGTTATACATACAATGCATACCAATATACGAAGTTTAACGAGCTGAGAAACAGGAGTGTATGTGGGAGAGCAATCGGCAAAGCCTATGCATACTCATGCAGTTATGGCTGACGTTGCGGAAGGCGTTGTGGCGTGTAAATAATTATGGCCGACAAAGTGAGTGGGCAGCGAAGTAAAATACATGCTCATACAAACTATGTAAATACTCGTAGTGAGGGAATTGAAAGTTGTGGAGAGAATTCGAACGGATGTGAAAGCATAAGGCGTGTGCCCTTTTGGCATTATTTATGCGCACTCATAGGTAAGAGTTTGGGAAGAGTATCACTAAAATTTCATGATGTCAAAGTTTGCGTGAAGTGTACGCTTGTAGACCGTAAGGTCATCTTTATAACTTGTTAGGAGAGCGTCTATGTCAAAGGAATATGTCTGGCATAGCAATAACTAACATTAATTGCGTTTGCAATTTAAGGGGTTGCCACAGGCTTATACTCATAAAACTACATTATTGCTTGCAGTTTGGAATTAAAAAATCCATCTATACATTCATTATTTGTCAGCATTCCTTTTCTGAAAAATGGATTTGGGTAAATTTTTAAAATTGATCGTAATTTGGCTCTAAGTTCTTAAGCCTTAACTATTGCTAATCAAAAAAATGAATGCAGGTACACTTTCTTGACTCGAACTTCTATAACCAAAATTTATAAATACACAAACAATATACAAGCTTCCTGCCATAGTCCGAAGTCTCTCTAACTCGAAGGTTATTGAGAATTATGGTGCTTCGAGTTAGGGAAGTTCAACAGTATTTAGGGTGTATAAAAAGAAATATAATATAATCATATAAAATCGATCCAAAATTTCCATTTCTTCTACATAAAAAGTACAACTATAATTTAACATCTTATCGTATCGATAATAAAATCCATTTCTTCACCAACTAAGTTCAGCTAAATTTTGCTCAATAAATATAAAAAAAAATTTTAGGAACTTTTTTTCTATTTTGACCCAACCCAACCCAACTGCAATCTAATGGATAAAATATTCCTCTCATGGACTAAATTAAGGCTCTGCCCGTAATACGTATTAATTATGATATGTATTAATATGATATAATTTTCATAATTGTTCATAATAACTTGGCGCTCGATACCCCACTGCAACCTTTTATATGTTGTGAAGAATACTACTCTGAAGATTGCTACCCTGAAGAATTATTTTCCAAATAACGACCATTTTGACGGGTAGTGCTGACAGTCAATTAAAAAATTATGTATCTTCTTCGACGTTCCTAGTAAAGCAGCTATAGATTAAAAAAATTTAGTAGTACATATTAGGCCCTTCTAACTACCATTTAATGAATAGAATGCAAAACGCTCTTACTGGAATGCGGTTAACAGTATAACAGGATGTCAAAAGTTATTTTGATCCATTCTCAACCGCCAAGCAGGCGCAGTTCTTTCGGGATGTAGTCATATGTAGAAGTTCACGCAAGTGAGGAAGTTCTCTGATCGCCATTCACTTGGGAGTGGCCAGAAACGATACTTTTACATATGGCGCAAGCAGCTCACGACTTCCGGTCCAAGAATACTCTGGGTAGCCCAAGAACATCCGTTTGAAAGCGAAACATCTCCTTCGCACCCAATGAAAAATAACAACTAGCCACGGATGAGAGACCCGCCGGGGGAAGCTAAAGAAGAGGCAACCTCCACTCCGTTCGAAGAACCAGGTGGATAAGGACCTGACTTCACTTGGAATCTCCAATTGGTGCCACGTAGCGAAAAGAGGAAACGACTGGAGCGCTCTTGTTGACTAGGCTATAATCGCGTAAGCGGTGTCTACGCCAGTAAAGAAGAAGACGCATGTTCTTCTTAAACAAAAGTTGAAATTTTGAGAAGGAACAGAACGCATGAATATATTTTAGACCCACAATAATCATCATTATTTCATATAATTTAAATAAATACTATTATTAAGTTAAAGAAAATACTATTTCGTCCTCTCTGCTACACTTTTTCATGCAGCTTGACAATTACACTTAATGCTACTACTATTCCATCACAAATCTGATACATATTTGGTACTAATAAATATTTGCGCTCACTGGTCTCCCACAGCGCCGCAACTTTTCTCAGTGGTGAGTGTGACACAAGGCAAATAAGAAGTGAGAAGCAATAACTTGTTTTCAAACTAATGCAAGAGATAAATAAATACAGTACAATACAAATGTGACGGCTTTTATTTATTTTACACAAAGAGAGCTTTCCGGTGCGCATGTACGGCCATATTGGAGCGCCGCTGAGCTTTTAGGAAACCAACAAAGCTAAAACACCAAGCACAATGAGTTGTGTTGAGTAGCAAAGAGCGCCTGACGACTATTAGTGACGGTGAGAACTTATTGCTAGGCGAGAGCATAGGTGAGCTGTTAAAGAGTTGTCGGCGCACTTGTTGAAAGCGACAACAAAAATAGCAACAATATAAAATATATGAGTGCAGTTGGCGGCATAAAGTGTTCAAAGGCAAATGGCAACACTAATTTAGTAGCAGAGTTTTTGTTGTTTGCTTTTATAGTTGTTATTTGCTTGTTATTGTATCATAAATGTTTTTTCTCAATTATTTTTTGTCGTTTGTTATACAAAACTCAACCGCTGCCGAAGATGTTTTTGTCGTAGTCATCGGCGTCGTCGTCGTAGTCATCGTAATCGTTGCCGTTGGTGTGTGGCATGCGACGATGACTATGGGAGAATCCGCTGCTGCCGCCGCAGCCGCTCGACGACACACTATCGCATGGGAAGTATACAATGCCGCCGCTGCCACCACTACCACTACTACTACTACCAACACAGCATTGTGGCGAATGTTTATAGATTTTCAGTCGAATTTTGTTATTTCACGTACAAAGTGGCGCGCGCGAGCCGCCGCTCTAGCAAATCATATGAAATCGTGACGTTATATAGAATAATTTGTGTCGAAAATTGTAACAACAACAAAATATAAAAACAACAAAATATATTAACACATATAATTTACTTGGTGAAAGGTGTAAAATGCATGGTTCGGTGCAAGTGGCAAAAGTGGTAGGTAATGTGCTTAGTTGCAACACATATTAAAAGTGTTTGGAGTGGCGTGGCGTAAATGCGATTTTTTGTTTTTTTTATCAGTGCACTAGAATGCATTTCTTAAACTATTTATGATAGCATTTGATTTTCTTGGTAGCAAACTTGTTTGTCGCATGAAATTATCTAACCGTTGAATGCTTGCAAAAAAGTCGGTGCACACGTAAGCGCTTTATAAATAGCAAGCAACGGAAGTGATATATTAATTTAAAAGCACTGAATATTTATTGAAATTATGGCTTGTTAACTGCCGGATGTTGCCACCTAAGTAATAATTGCGCAAAGGAAAAAGCAACGTTCAAAAGCGTACGCAGAAAAAGCTGTCAGCGCACAAAGTCATTTAAATACAGTGTAAATTGTTGCACAGCAATTATTGGCGGCAATAAAATGTGACAACTTACGGTGCATAGAAAGTGACTGCAATAAAAATGACAATTTAATTTAAATGTGAAAAATACACGAGAGGAAATATTAAACGCAACAAAAGCGGAAAAAAAGCATTAAATAAACTGAAAAAAAAATACATGAAAGGTATAATTTTATAACATGGTAACGCTTGTTATACATATATAAAAGCCCAATTGCTTCAAAACCACGAAAACTCCAGCATTTCCACAGTTTCCATTAACGGGACAATAAGAAAAAACAGCCGTCAGCGTAATAAACTTTCGAAAATTTAATTTCAAATTCGATTTTACGCGCTTAATCGAATACAGAGTTGTTAATGCCATGCTAAAATGCACCAATTACCAGATCATTACACTGCCGTGATCATATTTCACGCATACATATATTGTGCAATAAATTGTGTTGATAGTGCTTATAACGCAGGCATGTACTAGTGAGTGAGTGTGCGTGTGAGTGTGGCGTAAATTAATACAAATTTAATTACGGTAAATTTACTCTTTCACAGAACGCCATAATGCCGTGGTGGCGGCGAAAATGCGCTTTAATTGAAAAAATAACCAATTATTGACGCAAACTTTTTTGCACAAAGCGCCAGTGAGACGCACGGAATGGCGCGGCAGCCTGCCAGAGTGTGAGTGTGAGTTTGTGCAACGCGCGATTGGTATGCGAAACTACACCCACACACACAAGTGGCAGTCAAAATACTTACAGCATTATATATACATATATACATATGTATACTACTTAAATATCCTCTATAAACACTTACATACACATAAGTGCAGTAAACATTTATTGCTGACGAAGTCGGCCACAAAGACTTCCCACAAAAATACACGCTTACACACACATCCATACATATATACATTCCATATTATCGCATGTTTTCTTGCCACAAAACGTCGTATCCGCTGTGCGGTTAACGGTTTGATTTGGTAATTTTTAGAATTTGCGCGCGCCCACTTCCTATGTATAATAGCGCACACACACCAACATATACACACGTATTTGTGTATGTGTATACGCCATCCACTTCAGCCATGGCTTTATGCTGTAATATTTTCGCGTGTGCTTGTGGGCGTTGATGTATGTATATGTAGGAGTGTGTATGTGTGCGCGCGCGACGACCCGCATCTCTTACCACATCCGCTATACGTGTTCATAATAAATTAAATGCCACATTTCATAATAAAATTAAAAACGCAAAATAAAAATGAAATGCCTAGCTAAACACATACAAACATACATACATATGTGCATATGTACATAGTATGTATGTATGATATGTATGTAAGGTATATTAAATGCGCGAGACTCGTAAAAAGCATTATGAGTGTAACAAACAGAAATTATAATAATAAAAATAGTATGGAAAATATTAAAATAATAAACAGCAGGCACTCAAGATAGTGGCAGCAAATTATGATTTATGAGTTTGAAGCCAAAGCGCGGGCGCTCACACCAAACTACACATGTAAATTCGTCTGTGTGCCCATTAAAATATAGTGTCTGGTAGCGTACGAGTAACGGTAATTCCGACGATTTATTTATACGACTAAGAGGACGTTCATATAGACGCTGAGAAGGCAAGCGTGTCCAAACTATTAGGCAACAGCGCATAAGTTGGATGGGTTGGGTGATATGAAAGATTAAAACTGTAGGGGCAGCGGGCATTTAACGCATACACGTTTACTACATCAGTTAATGTTTTTAAACACTCTAACATAGTGTAGAGTAAATCTATTCATAGAATTTGAACTATTTTATTTTAAAGTAGCAAATCTAAGTAGGTAAATCGAAAGAAGCTAGTGGAAAATGTATCTGTTTTCTTGAGCTGTGAGCGCAAAGCTGTTATGTGCTTCCCTATAATAAGTACAACTAACAAACTGCCTCTAAGAAGAAAGTTGTTTTTGAAGAAAAGGCACTGTTGAAGATAAAAATAAAGAATGAAAGGAACTCTGATGGCTGGTTCACATACTACTTTTGTTTCGCTTTGCTTCAGATAGTTTTATTTGCTTTGATAGAAAAGTACGATGTATGCTTTTGTATGAGTTCGATCACATCGAGGCGCAGCAGAGCAAAGCGAAGCAAAGTGGTAGGTAACTCTCAACTTTCTATGCTTTGTCAAGCAAAGGTCACCATCTTTGTTACAGAGAAGAGCGCAAAGCACATTGTTTGGTCTGAAAATCTTTTTCTTTCTTCGCTTCGCTGTTAAAGGTCCGTATCCAGCTCTCAAGTAATTGCTCAAGAAAATAATACATTATTTCTTCAAGTAATTTTGACTTCTGGTTACGCATTGTGAATGATCCACATTAGAAGAGCAAGAGAGAATAAACAAAGAAAATAAATTTTGTGCGTAATATGTAATATTTTCATTGCGATTTAAGGAATATTGTTGATGATTGGTAAGTTTTATGCAACATTTCAAAATGAAATATAATTCATAATAATGATTTTAACTAATTTCGGATAACGATTACTTTGAATTTTCTTCGAGAAACAATTGTTGCACTCGTGTTTCTTCACAAAACCAGGTTTGCCATATTCGCATTTTATTCAAAAAATTTATTAAAAATTAGTACAAGATTTATTTATAGCTGCATACTAGCACAAGAAAATCTACCGCAGGCAATTTTCTTCACCATTTCCTAAGCGTTTTATACTCTCGCCACAAAGTTGCTAAGGAGAGTATTATAGTTTTGTTCACATAACGGTTGTTTGTAAGTCATAAAACGAAAAGAGTCAGATATAGGTTTATATATACTAAAGTGATAAGGGGACGAGTAGAGTTGAAATCCAGATGTCTGTCTATCCGTCCGTGCAAGCTGTAACTTGAGTAAAAATTTAGATATCATGATAAAACTATCATGGTAAAACTTTTTGGTTCCATATGAAGGTAAAGTTCGAAGATGGACAAAATCGGCCCACTGTCATGCCCACAAAATGCCGAAAACCGAAAACCTATAAAGTGTCAAAGCTAAGCCATACATAAAGATATTAAAGTGAAATTTGACACAAAGGATCGCATTAAGGAGGGGCATATTTGAATGTAATTTTCTTGGAAAAGTGGGCGTGGCCCCGCTCCCTAATAAGTTTTTTGTACATATCTCGGGAACTACTATAGCAATGTCAACCAAACTGTATAGGGTTTTCCT